TTTCTCTTAGAAGTTGAGGTTATTCCTACTTCATCAGGCTTATGTTTGTCTCAACATAAATATATCCTAGATCTTCTAAATAAATTTGCTATGTCTAATGCCAAGGACACTGTCACACTAATGGCTTTTAATACTCAACTGAAATTTCATGACGGAACCAATCCATCTAATGCTACTGCAGATAGACAACTGGTTGGTTCTTTACAGTACCTTTCTCTGACTAGAACTGACGTAGCTTATGTAGTTAACATGGTGTCTCAATATATGCATTCTCCTACCCAACAACATTGGATTAGTCTGAAAAGGATTCTTCGATATTTAAAAAGCACTTTTCATCATGATCTTTTTCTGAAAAAGAATACTTCTCTTCTCCTCACTGCATTCAGTGATGCTGATTGGACAGGAAACTTGGATGATAGGACCTCAACAACAACTTATATTTTGTTTCTTGGTGGCAACCCCATCTCTTGGAAATCCGCTAAATAGAAACAGTGGCTCGTTCTTCAATTAAAGTTGAGCATAGAGCTATAGCCAATCGTATTGTAGAAATTCTTTGGCTAAAAAATTTGCTGACAGAACTTCACTTCCCACCAAATCAACAACCTCAACTTCTTTGTGACATTATCGATGTTATTTATTTAAGTTCTAACCCTATTTTTCATTCCAAAATGAAGCATCTAGCCTTGGATTTACTGTTTTGTTCGACAACGTGTCAACTCAGGTGCATTTAGAGTCGTATATGGTTCCACCAATAACCAATTAGCAGATGGATTTACAAAACCTTTAACAAAACAAAGGTTTCTCTTCTTGAGACCCAAAACTGATGTAGTCAATGGCTCCAGTCTTACGAGGCATAGGCGAAGTTTAACTCCACAACACTTTGGATGACAAGGGAGGATCAAGTTACAATGGGGCATGGGCCACTAGCCCTTTAAAGTTCTTTAAGCACCCAACTTTTTTTCCTTTTTCTTTTTATTTGGCGAATCATTTTTTTAAGAACCCAACCAAATCGGTCGATCAGATTAATTGAATCAAGAACCTATGTCTTGTTCGATGTAAAAGTAGATTAAAAAATTGAACGTCATTCGACCAATCAAATTTGATCAAGTAGAACTTCATTTGAGTAGGTTTTTATTATTTAAATTATTATTTATTCTTTAATAATATTTTTCAACTTTAAGAATACTTTTTCTAAGTGGTAGGAAAGGATTCAACTGTTAAAGTTTTACTAAATCAAATACATTGATTTGATAAGCATTTTTTACATTTAATACATTTTTAATAAGAAAATGATACATTTAAAAATAAATAACTCTTTCTATTTGTTAGGTTAAATCCACTAGTTTGGTCAATCTAGTTATTAAAACCATGATTAGAAACACCTAACTAATTCTTTTAACACATTATGTCCATAGATTGAGTCAAACTTAAGGTATAATCGATTTAGTTTGAATTGATATAGTACTAAGTTTGAACTTAAACTTGACTTCAAATTTGAAAGTGAAACTCGATTTGAACTTGATTGAATTTTTTTTAACTTAAGTTCAACTCAAAATAAACATCGAGCTACTCAAGTTTACTTGATTAAGTTCGATTAACATATTCTTATATTTGAAAAAATTTTGATTATTTGTACTCAAATTCGAATTCGAGATATTTTATCAATTAAAATAATTAAAATATAAAAATTTGATTAAACTTACTAATAACTCGAACCGATTATAAGAACTCTCAAATTCAACTCAATTAATAAATCAAGTTACTTAAGCTCGAACTCGACTCGATAATAATCGAGTCGAATTCGAATTTTATTTAAATCGAACTCAAATAACTTACGAGTACTAATATATCATTTAAATCATTAATCAAACTTGCTACTTAACATTCTAACGACTTACTCATTTAAATTAAATTTATATTTAAAATATATTATATTAATATTTTTATATTTAAAAATAATTTAATTATTTTCATAAAATGAATTGAATTTGAAAAATCTTACCACATGCCCAACCCAAATCGAGTCATACGGATCTCCTAACTTATGAAAAGGTCTATAAATATTACTGTTGAACATGATTTTCTTTTTATCCCACAGTGATGTAAATAATTTATTTAAAATAAGCAAAAACATAATATATTTCATATTTTTTAATTTATAATAATAATAATAATAAAAAGTTATTACTCTCTTTGGATTTGTTGGATATTATTGATTGAAATCTGTTCCTTTGACAACAAATTAATCAGTTGTAAGATATAATAATTTGAGTTTGCATGTGCTTTCCTGTTGTGTTGATCAGTGTTGATGTCTTGTAATATTGTTTGTTGTATTTAATGAGATTTCTTGACTATTTAAATAATATAATATGGGTTTGTTAGGAAAGATTAAACAACTACTATAATTTTAGGTGAACTATTTAAAGGTTGATTCAAACATTTATCTAATTTTTACCAATATGTCTGTCTTTGAGGAAGACTTAAGACAGACTTTAGGATTATTAACTTAGATCCAAGTCATGACAGTTTTAAAAAAAAAAAATTACAATTGTTCAATTCTCTTCCTTATGAATATGGTTAGACTTTATTATTTGTATATTTGAATTGAGTCTTTTTCATTCACAATATATGTAAAATTAAAAAAAATTATATCATAATGTATTAACATATCAAACACGAAATATTTTTTATTTTTTAAATTTATATATAATTTTTATTAAGATTTTAAATTATATTATTTTTATATTATATCATTATATCATATTTAAAATTATTAATTTTAAATATAATAATAAAATATAATTTATCATTTAAAATTAAAGATGACAACGAATCAAATTTTTATTCACCTCTAGTTCGACTTGACCTTATATATCTAATATTTGAACTCGATTTAATTTATTTTTTTATATTATTTTTTATATCCAAATTTGACATGATTCAATATTATATAAAACCTAAAATTAAGAAAATAATATTTTTAAAATATAAATATTATTTTTTAAATATAAATAAAAAATTAAATATATATAATATAAAATATATATAATTAAATAAATAATAAAAAATATTTTATATATACTAAATTAGATCAAAATAAATTTATTTAAAATTTTACTCTAATTTTTTATTTAAAATTTAATTAGACTCAAAATTCAATTTAAAAAATATGATTTTATAAAATTAGATCTAGATTAATCTTAAAAAATATATACTTTATAAAATTAAATCAAATCAAAATATCGTATACGAATTGAATTGACAACTTACAATTAAAAACTCCTTTTATTTGGGTTAAACAGAGTGAGGAAAAGGAAAGCTAGCCTCCAGCACTTTTTGTTAAAGCCACGGTGGATGACACAAGTATGTGAACGCGCCCACGTGGTCAACGGAGACAGGCAAGAAGCCAACTTTGCAAAAGTTAAGGTGGGACGTAAAAGACAAAATGAACACGCTCGCCTAAATTTTTAGTTAAGAACCCTGTGTGCTACGCGACAACGAAGACGGCGACGTGTTAAACGTTCCACGAACTTCCATGTGTCCAGCATCGTGGCCCTACCGCCGCCGCTTCAGTCACGCGCAACGTACTAAAGTGTTAAATACAATTAAAAAGACAGGGGCCCACTTCACGTAACACAATATTCTTTTTTTTTTTTCTATTTTTCCGATTAAAAAGTTTTCTTTTTTAATCTCTTCATGGGATTCTTTTTGAAAACTTGTAAGGTCCATATAATAAAAGTTTTTATTTTTTTTATTTTTTTAAGAAAATAAATTAAATTTAAAATTAAATAGTAAAAAAATAAAAGCCTTTACCAAATGAAATCTTAATCTTGGCAAAAAAAAAATTTAATAATATATTTTAAAGGAAATTAGAGTAAATAAAATACCAGCATGATCCTTGAATTTTGGACAAAATATTATTTTGGTCTTTCACTTTTAAAACGAAATTTATTGCTACTCAGTCAACAAAATTTTTGGTTTCTTCATCATCGTAATCATTTATTTTAATTTTTTTAAAATTATAAATGTTAAAAAAATTAATAATTATAATTAAATATTATATTATTAAATAATTTAATTAATTAATTAATTAATCATAAAACAAAATTTAATTAAATAAATTTAATATAAAATTATACTAAACTAACATTTAATATAACTTAAATCTAAAAGCTCAAAATTAAATCGACTTTACACCAGGATCCATAAAAGAACAGGAATCAAATTCCATTGAATAGGTGAAACCCCAAGCCCCAAACAAGCAATTTTAAGATTTGAAAGTAGAAAATAATCCCAGAAGCGAAGAGTAAAACGAAATTTTTAGGAATAAAAAGAAAAAAAAAAAAAACAGAAAGAGACAAAAAAGGTGGAAAATGAGAGAAAAAAAGAGTACCAGCTTTATTTTTCTTCTTTAATTTTTCTTCCTTCATTCGAAAACAGAGAGGTGTTAAAACTAAACCAATAAATCAAGAAAAACCCGACTCTGTTTTTCCAGTTTCAGCCTAAAAATTCCCACAGATCCATTTTTCATTGCCAAAAAAAAGAAGGAAGTGGGTACGCTGTTTTTGTTTTCAATGAGAGACGTACTTGGTTGACTAAGTTCCAGCTTTTATGGGGTCCATGAAGATTTCTGGGACATCTTTATTTGCATCTCTGCTCTCATGTTTTTTCTGATACAACAAGCTGAAAAAGCTTCTATTTTTGGCTCTTCTTTTTTGTTTCTTCAAAGGTTGTAATTTGTCCAAAACTAAAGCTTTTGCGTTTTGGGTTTTTCTTTTTCTGTTTGTTAGTTGTTTCGGATTGTATTTAATTGTATTAGAAAGGAGATGCAATCGGGTCGGTCACAATCCGTGGTGAGTCAGATTCCCCAGCGGGTTCAATCTTTTCAAGCAGCTGATACTAGAGGTAAGCATAGGATACAAGCTGAAGTCAAAAGGCTAGAGCAAGAAGCTAGATTCTTAGAGGTTAGTAAAAAGATCTTTTTTTTTTTGTTGGATTGTTGTTTTAGCCATTGAAATGTTGGTTTTCTTGTTTGGAGTGTTTGATTTTGTATTGTTTTGGATTGGATTGATTATCTGATTGTCTCTTTGAATTTGAAATGATAAATCTTGAAGTTATGTTGTGAGTGGTGCAGTGTGTTATTTATTGTAGACAGATTGACTTCAATTGCCTATTTCTTTCTTGTCTTTGTTCAAGTCAGCTGAATTTTGTCTCTTTTTTGTGGAATTTTCAAGTTGGACATGGAGCCAATGCCAGACCTTGAATTAAATCCTTCTACTGTCAAAGAAATTATCTTATGCCAGAACTTGAATTATTTTCACTTTATTTTTGCTAGACAGGCAAGGACACCCTGGAATTAATTATTGATCGATTTGGGGTTTTAAATCCGGAAAAGTTGGACGTAGATAGTATTGCTTTAGATCACCTTCAGTTCATAGGTGGCCTCTTGGTTTAACAATAAAGTTAAGCCTACAGCTATCCAAAGAAACTCTCTTAACTGCAGTAGCGCTTTTCTTCATTTCCATCAATTCAACTTCTTTGGTTTAATTCAAAAGGGCCTTACTGTACTGGTTTCAAATTGACTTCAATTCCTTCTTCCTTTGCTGCAACTGCTATCTTGACTGTTCTCAGCTGCGAAGTCGTAATTGTCAGTAGCCCATCTTAAAGCCCTAAGGTTTAAGGCATCTGTCTGCTGACCACTTTAATGTGCTGGTATACCTTTTTGAGGTACAATGACTTTAAGAACTTGCAGTCCTGTTAAGTTGATAGGTCTCCGGTGCCTAAAATTTGATTTTTGAGCCCTTTTTTGGTTAATTTGTGCTCACTTTCAATGATTTATTCACACCTCATCACCCTTCAAATTTGCTTTGTTCCATTCAGATTCATTTTTGGCTTTAGTTTGTTTTTAACTTTTGGGAACAAACAATGGTATTCTACAGTTATAGTCTATTGGGATAAAATATGCATTCAGCAAGGAGAAGCTAGCACTGTTATGTATGAGCCTTGCGATTTATCCATGAAAAGTTACTGCTTAGTTTCTATCCATTTGCAAGAGGGAGGGAATTTATCATTCTGGGTTCAGGTGTACCTCCTTTTTAAGTGGCTTTATATTTTTTTGCTGAAAATTAGGGAAGGAATAAAGATAAGAGTGTTTGACTTCTTACAATCTCAAGTTTAAGTTTGTTTTTCAAAAGATTTTGCCATTATGAAGAAGCTCCTGAAAATTTCTGGAAAAGTATTTTGATTGGTCCAAACCCATGAAAACATTGCAGGGTAAAATATTTTCCAAGAGAGCTGCTTTTAAAATATATAGTCATTCTCCATTCCCTTCTTTTACCCCTACTTTTAGTTTTTGTGTGTGTGTGTGTACTCCAAGCATGAGCGGAACAAAATTCAATTGTACAAATTGTTTTTTCATGTTTTCAGGGCACTTTAATAGTTGTCATTTTCCTTTAATTCCCTCTTCTTACTATTGCTTCCACTTCTTTTTATGATTTATTTTCCTTTGATTTTGCTTTACATCTTTGTCTTTCCAGCTATTGTCCATGTGCAGCTACTATTGAAGCATTTTTCTAAACTTCTTTGGTTAAATTAGATATTTATTAGGTTGTGTTTTTCTTTCTTTCGTAGATTGGAACGGCCAACTTAATTTGTTAATCAGTTTAGGGTTGCTTTCTCTTACTTCTGTAGGAATTTGTTTATTCTGTCAGTTGTAACCAGAACCAAATGATTTTGGCTGAAATAAATGAAGCATTCTTGAAAATTTTCGGTTTGTACCAGCTTAGCAACATATTTGAGAAATATTGAAGATGCAGATTAGCTTGAATTACTAAGTTGTTTTTTCCTGTTTTATGCTGAGAATAACTGTATACAATACAGTCTTGTATGTTGAAAGGTGGAAAATATTGAATGCAGCCATCATTTGGAGAAGGTCCTTCAGTTGATGCTTCGTAGTTTACCATAGATGCTTAGGATTAGAAAATAAACTGTTATTTTTGCCAATGAGTTTCTTATCATTTGATCTGATCCAACTACAAATATTAGACTAATTACTATTTTTATTGATGTTCCATAACGTTCGATTTACACAGGGAGAGCTGGAGCTGATAGAAAAGATGGATAAGGCATCAGCTGCATGCAAAGAGTAAGCATGAAGAATGCTTGGTATGCATTTGCTATCTTGGCAAGAAAATTAAGGGCAAAGCTGATTCAAATTTGTTTTTATTATGCGTGACAGGATGCTGAGTATTGTGGAAAGTAGACCTGATCCACTACTCCCCATGTACATACATACATCTCTTCAACATCCCTGTTTTCATTTCAATTTTGCAGTAATTCTTTTTAAGACTTTTCTTACAGTTCCTGAAATTGGTCATTGTTTATTGACAGAACAAATGGCCCTCTAAATCCCTTATGGGATCAATGGTTTGAAGGCCCCCAGGAAGCTCAAGGTTGCAAATGTTGGATACTGTGACATTGTTGCTGATTTGAAAAGTTTGATTATTATTATCTTTAATTTGGAGAGGCTTATACTTTCAAAGTTGTTACAAATGTTAAGAGTAATAGTCATCTCAGATGTTTATGAAAGATTTCATTGTGCAGAAAATGACAACTTTACAGCGATTTTTTTGAATCCTATTTATAGCAACATGTTCTTCATTGTCTAATGTTAAAATGAAAAGCTTCATCGTGCAGAAAATGCCAATTTCTTCAGGCAAATTGAAATACGAAAACAATCTACAAAATTTAATGAGAAATGCTAATACAGTTGATGGTACACAAAAGGTGGAATTTGTTTTCAGTCATCTGAATCCATAATGTATGAAGAATGAACTCTCTTTGATTGATCACCCCCTTTTCAACCTGGTGCTTTCCCTGTAACATGCTGGGCGATCCACCCTAGACCATCATACAACCCGTCTCCGGTAAGTGCACAGCAGGCTTGGATATGCCAATCATGAGTTTTTATGCTGTGAAGTGAAAGGGCATCAGTGATCTCAGCCGGGGTCATTGCATCTTTTAGGTCTTGTTTATTTGCAAAGACAAGTATAACAGAATGTTGTAGGTCCTCATGTCCAAGCAACCTGAAGAGTTCATCCTTCATAATGGTGATCCTGGCCCTATCAGTGCTGTCTATCACGACAATGACAGCATGAGTTCCACGATAGTATGTTGCCCATGATGTTCGCAATCTTTCTTGCCCACCAAGATCCCAGACCTGAGGCATATACAAATACTTAGGTTCCAAGCAGATTCATAAAATCTAAATAAAAGAATCACATTCAACCTCCTCACTGCACTCTGTACTCTCTTCCGCTTTTTAGCTTAGAGCACACAATTCCATGGAAAAGAATATATAGAGCTATGTCCAATCAAGTTTGTAGTCTCAATTTTTTTTTCTTTAAGATGAATCTCATAATAAAGGACTGCCTGAAAATACAATCTTCATAAATGACAATCTGAAGACCATAGCAAGAAAAAGATCAATGAGATATGGAGTCAATACTTGCTAGCTAAATTGCACTCTGCCATCAAGTCACTTCATATTATAGTAATTTGAGAACTAAATTAGAAAGAAAGAGTACCTCAATTTGGAAAATAAAATTAAATATAAAGGAAAACCAACAACGGAGTAAGAATAAATCCACCCAATCAACATAGTGAACAAAGGCAGTATGCTTATTTGATCATATTTAATGTGCCTCTGTTTCTCTACTTCAAGATACATATTATACATGGAAACTCATTCATGTGCCATTTCAATATAATCTTAACATCATACAACCAAAGGCATATCGCATATCTAAATACTCATCTATTTCTTACAATAACCTCTATACCCAAATAAACATAAATATAGCTCTTCTGATGCAAAACAACAACAATCTGCTTTCTAAGTTTCGGGTGAACCATTATGAAGATTACTTCAAACGAGGCATCCTATCCAGAAATCATAGCTACCCTTAGCTTAAGATTATGCATCAAACAACTTCCAAAAGCCAATTCCTAAGTATCAAAAGCTATGTTCTAACTAGCTTCATTTCAAATATGAGGATTCATTTCATAAAACTCATAAAAAATCACAATCAAAAAGATATTTACCACGGATCACAGTCAGCAAACATCACATTCCAATGGCTATATAATCACATGTAAAATACACAATAAATTTTAAAGCTTTAAACCTATTGGATTCAACCCCTCAACTTTTTTCAACAACCAAAAGCTAAAAGAAAGATTCAAACCATTGAAGTAATGCACCAATACACATTTGGAAGAAACCAAAAGGTCCCTTGAATTTTTAACCATAATCTACCAAATTCTTCGAAAAACAAAAAACACTTTCCACGAAATTAAATAAACAAAAAGATTAAAAAATGAAAACCCAAAAATTAAATCATCGAGAAATTAGGAGGAGCATCTCAAAAAAGAAAAAAGATTACCTCGAAGCGGATGTTTTTATAAACAAGCTCTTCAACGTTGCTACCAACAGTAGGATGGGTAGTAACAACATCACCAAGGTGAAGCTTGTAAAGCGTCGTCGTTTTGCCTGCATTTTCCAACCCCACCACCACAATCTTGTATTCCTTTGCGGGAAATAACATAAACCAAAACTTCGATATGAAAGCCCCCATTCTTTTGCTCCTTTTAAAAATAAAAATCAAACCTTTTATGTCCTAAATCGATCAAAAAAAGGGATCTAACAAAAATAAAATAAAATTCCATATTTTTACCTGGATTGAAACTTTGAAAGGTATGATGGACGGTGGCGATGGAGGACTAACGTGGATCGTGAAGGAAGAGTATTGGGTTTTTCGGGGGAATCAAGAGAAATTCCGATCTGTTTGAAGAAAGAGGGAATTTGTTTGCGGGGACGAGAAGGGAAAATAAAGATTAAAAAAAAAAAAGGACAAGAGAGGGATTGAGGGGGCATTGCCGTCCTTGACACGGTTGCTGATGACCTGCATGTCTAGTGCTGATTACGTGGCCACTTCGCCATTCTTTTTTATTTTATTTTATTTTATTTTTGAATTATTTTTAGTTACTTTTTTTTAAGTTTATTTTTAATTACTTTTAATTACCAATATTCCATGTCCTAAATCAATATTCTCATTTTCAATTTTAGATGTCTAAAATTTTCATATAAATGTAATTTAAATTTATTTTCTAAATTTATTAATGATCAAATACCAAAAAAAAGTTACATTATAATATCTTGTTATTTAAGAATTAATATTTTTTAAAAACATTTAAAACTTTTATTAACAAATATTCTAAAAACATTTAAGATTATCATTTTAAGTAAGTTATAATTTTCATTTCATTATCCCAAGCTTTTAACCTAATAATTAAAAGTACTTGAAAAAATATCAAAGACTTGATTTTAAATTAAATTTCCTCATTTCTTTTTACTTGTATTAAGATTTTGTCTTCTTAATATAATTTAAAAAAAAATTCATTGCATGTTAGTCATCAAATGAATTATTAATCAATACATTTAATATAAAATATTATTATAAATAATAATTTGAACATAAAAGCATAAAAAATTAGCAAATTTTTAATTATAAATAAAATATATAAAAGAAGGCCTAAATGGAGCAATTTGGAAACACCAAAAATAGGAAATTAAACACATATAAAAAGTGAGGATTAATATTATAGGGCTGTCATGTAATTTTAAAAAAGGAAAAAAATTGCTACCTTTAAAAAGCTCCACTCCAGTGACTCAATCTCATCGTAAACCTTTAAAAAGCCACCTACCCTAAATATTCGAAAGCCTCAGTCCCCTCTAATCCCATTTTTTTAGCCAACCAAAAAGTGCCACGTAAGCAAAAGATTACTCCAATGTTTTAGAAGTCCTCGAAGCTCTGTTTGGCAAACCGCAGAAAAAAAGGTTTATTTTTGTCAGTTGGCTGCTCACTATGCGACATGTCCCAAGCTTAAAACACGGTTCTTCTCTTCAGTTTATCCGCCTTCGGAATCACTTGCTCTGTACGTTTCCCGCCACCGCCAGCTCTTTCTTTACCGGTAACAATGTCGCAGTCCCTCCAATTCTTCACTCCCTCCCGTGCTTCCTACCTCACTCTCCCAAAGCTTCCCAGCGTCGTCCTATCCCCGGTTCCCGGTAGTCAACCTCCCTCGCAAAAAACACTCTATCTCGACCAAGAAATCGTTATCGCAGGTCCTGGCTTCCGGTAATGGCCAGAGCGGAGTTGCGGGGGTTTTGGAAAACGTGGGGACGGTTCCCTCTCTTGCGCCGTCGGATTCGGGGGCTGGGGCAATAGAGGTGGACGCCGTGACAGAAGCGGAGCTGAAGGAGAATGGATTTAGTAGCTCGAGGCGGACGAAGCTAATCTGCGATTGGTCCGGCCACGTGTGGGTTCGAGCAGCTGGAAGCGTTGGCTGTCGGAGGCATGAACGTGGCTCGAATCAACATGTGCCACGGCACGCGTGAGTGGCATCAAACGGTGATCGAGCGGGTAAGTAGACTTAACGAAGAGAAAGGCTTCGCCGTCGCTATTGTGATGGATACTGAAGGTAGCGAGATTCACATGGGAGATCTTGGTGGTGCTGCCTCCGCCAAAGCTGAGGTACAAAAGAAAAAGAATTAAAAAATAATAATAATTTTTTTAACTTATTAATTTTGAATCACTTATTTCTTATTTTAGGATGGTGAAATCTGGACATTTAGTGTTAGAGCTTTCGATTCACCGCGGCCAGAGCGTACAATTAATGTGAATTATGACGGTTTTGCGGAAGGTTTGTAATCTTAATTTTTAGATGAAAGAAGTTATTGTAAGCAGATTGATTTATTGGTGATTCAAATAAGATTGTTTGATGTTGGTATATAGATGTGAAAGTTGGGGATAAACTTTTGGTTGATGGTGAAATGGTGAGATTTGAGGTGACTGAGAAGTTTGGTCCTGATGTTAAGTGTAGGTGTACTGATCCGGGATTATTGCTTCCGGGAGCTAATTTGACTTTCTGGAGGGATGGGAGTCTTGTTCGCGAGCGTAATGCTATGCTTCCTACCATTTCTTCCAAGGTTGTTACTTTTTTTTCTCTTTTTTGCTCTTTGAATTTTATTAGTACTTGGTATTCAATGATTTAACTAGTTTGAAAGATAGTTTCATCTGAGGGTATCGATAATTCGTGTTTGGTCACATATATGACAATGGAATTGGACATTAGGAACTACTTACATTATCGGACTTAGAGTCTCTTTGAATTGACTGTGTGTTTGTCTGAATCACTCTATATCCTACTTATTGGTGTTAAATTATTCAACTTGTTAAACATTGTCTTGAGCTTCTTTAATAAAGTCAACTTATATGGCATTTTCTTTTCCCATACAATGATGAGCAATCACTTTATGTAATGTTGTAAAAACAAGTCCAAGGATATGCAAAAAGTTAATAAACAAAATTCATAATTAATAGATGTAAGTCTGTTTCAAATATGGTAGAAGAGCAAATCCAACTCATTCAACCCCATCTCTGGTGTTTTGGGATCTGATTTTGCTGTTTATTCTGTAGGTTCTCGTCATTTTTGAAACTTGGATGTTTGAGTATTTAAAGCGTGTGTCCTCATTATATGTAACATTCATGTAATTACCTTCTGTTCTTCTCTGTTGCCCGCATGGTGGTTTTTCTGGTGAAGCACTTATCTAGAAACAAAAACGTTATGCCTGGTTACATGATCGAGCTTTAATTTATTTCAGGATTGGTTGGACTTCGACTTTGGGATTGCAGAAGGTGTTGATTTTCTTGTAATATCCTTTGTCAAATCTGCTGAAGTAATTAATTATCTTAAAAGCTACATTGCTGCTAGGTCACATCGTAGGTAAGTGTTATACATTGCCTTGTAATCTCAGTGTATGGAATGGTTGTGGTAAATTCTGATATAAAGGTTTTGAGCTTCTACTTTTAACATACATGCATGTGCACTTTCAGCAGTAGCAAATTAGAAACTTAGACTGATATTGAATACTCTTTTAGTAACATAAGTACTAGTGTTCCGAAATGAGTAACACATATATCAATCTTTTTTTTCTTCTTGCTGAGAATGACATCTCAATATTGTGCAGTGACATAGCTGTCATTGCAAAGATAGAGAGTATTGACTCATTAAAGAACTTGGAAGAAATTATTCAAGCATCAGATGGAGCTATGGTTGCAAGAGGAGACTTGGGTGCTCAGATACCATTGGAACAGGTTCCATCAGCCCAGCAGAAGATCATACGGCTATGCAGGCAACTAAATAAGCCAGCAATTGTTGCCTCCCAGCTACTTGAATCAATGATTGAATACCCTAAGCCCACCCGAGCTGAAGTTGCTGATGTTTCTGAGGCAGTGAACTGATGCTTTATTGCTCTCCAGTGATTCAGCTATGGGGCAGTACCCAGAAAGGCGTTGGCTGTTCGAAGAAGTGTTAGTGTGAGAATAGAAAAGTGGTGGAGGGAGGAAAAACGCCATGAGGCTATGCAACTGCCAGATGTAAGAACTTCATTTGCTGATAGTATCTCAGAAGAGATTTGTAATTCTGCAGCCAAGATGGGTAAGAATCTTTGGTTCTGTAATATATTTGACTAATTATGTGTTTGCACAAGCATTCATGTATAAATTTTATCTGCATGCATTATGTATCTGTATCTATGTTCTTCTCTCTTCATTGAATTGGTTATTATCCAAAGTCAAAAGAATCTTCTACATCTTGAGACTTTTAAAACTTTTTTGCACGTTCTGTATGCACGTTATTGCCCTCTGAGTATTTTAGGCAAAATTTTCTTTATCCTGGTAGGGTGTATTTCATGGAAAGAATCTTTGTAAGTTCATGTCATTTATCTCTTCTTTTTCTTTCTTCGTGTGATTATGTTTTAGGCATTTGGATGATTTGGACAACTTTCTTGAATTCATTGTTTCAATTAGAGGTGAGAAAAAAAAAAACCGAGAAAATTGAAAACTGATTCAAAATTGAAGTGTTAAGTTCTATTTAGATCGGTTTTTTCTCATTTGGTTCGGATTTAGTTCAGATATTAAATGTCTATATTAGGTTCAAATCAAAAAGTGAAAAAAAAAATACGAACATAACCAAATTATATATTTTTGTTAGCTTTTATGTATATTTTAAATTTTTATAAAATAAAAATAATTATTTTATATCTAAATTTATTTAAATATATTAAAATAATATATAAAAAAAATTTTAAAAACCGATAAACCGAACCGAACTGATAGAATTCAGTTTGGATTGGATCGGCTTTAAGGAAAAGTCAATTGGATTTGGATCAAATTTAAAAATTCATAATATTATATATTATCCAAAAAATTGAACTGAATCCAATCCGATCCTATCCGAACCTTTATCACCCCTAGTTTCAATATGAGGTTATTGCTTTTATTGAGTTATTTAATATAATAATAATTCTTATTCCAGTAATGATTTTGGGAATGCAATCAACCTGGATTTTTGTTAGATAGCTTCATTTTTTAAATTATTTTGGTTAATTTATAATTGCCCTTTATATTTACGGTTTAATCTTTTAACAGCTTGAAGTTTTGAAGTTTTCAGGTACTTTAACTCTTTTTGAAACCCTTGGTAGCCTTCTAAACTTGAAGTAGGACTAATGCTTCTAGAAAACTTCTTGGAATTGAAGTAGGATTTCTTGGAGAAAATAAACCTCTAAGTAGCATTCTCTTTCTCAATGTTTTCCTCCGCCTTCTCTTTTCCCCCCTCATGTTACTGGTTTTCATCCAGTCTTGTTCTCTATTTTAATTTTCTCAAAAGATGTTGCAAAAATTTTTGGCCTAGATGAGTAGATGATGCAACGTCAACTATCAGCGATGGGAGTGGCTACCCTTGTTCAGCTCAGCTATAGAATTCAAGAAACTGGAGCTGATTGATATTCAACATTTCATTTTGAGTAAGCTTTT